CTGACACGAGTCTAAGTAAGTACGCAGTAGATAGCCGGAAAAGTGACTTTGTTTCTTATATTTTGGCTGCGATATCCCTCATATTGTAATATCTGTGTTCATTTGTTTTGTATTTTCTGACAAGCCTCTTAGTTGTAGCTTTAAAAAGTGGCGTGATGTTGGTGGTCGAGCGAAGACTTCCTGGTAAGAGTCCGCGCGGATAGTTATGTGGCCTTTCCTCCTGATCCCTGGGATGATGCGTTCTATATGCGTTGTGAGTGTGTTTAGATCAACGAAAATAGCGGTAAACGTACTGCATTGATTTTAATTAAATTTAAGTTACGGAAACATTAGGTACTGAGCTTCTTCAGGTACTAAGCCGTCACCCTGGGAAAATTCGTTTTTTCCATGCAGCACTTTTCGAGGTCTTATTCACCCCTAAATAAATTGGGCACACAAAATATCAAGTGTACCAAGTGTATTGATAATTGGCACAGCACCCCTTTCAACCAGAAGAGTGAAAAGTTCCAACCTTCGTTTATTAGAGAAATGACAGCCCATCGGGCTGAGGGTGCCAAATTGCTACGAATACGGAAAGAAACTCCATTCCGAGACCTTATGCTCTTTTGAATATTATTAAACAAACGCCCCTGCAGTTCCAGAGCAAGCCGCTAGGAGAACCAAACTCATATCACTTCTTCCCCAGAACAAGAACTAACTATCATTTCAATTTCGTGAGCCAAGCATGTCCAGATCGCGAGGTATCAAAACCGAAGTTAAGCTGCAGTACAAAAAGAAGCCGCTAGGGGCCTTCAATTATAATCATTTCTAGGTCGTATCAAGATCTATCCACCTACTAAATATTAAGTCAATCCATTCAAGCTTTCTCAAGTTATCGTGTTTACAAACACACAGACACACAGACACACGCACACACACACACAGACACATACACACACATACACACACACACACACACACACACACAGAGACACATACACACACAGACACACACACACACACATGCGCGCGCACACACACACACACACACAGACACACACACACACACACGGACGCCTCTGAAACTATCGTTCTTGGCGAAAGTAATTACGAAAAAACTCTCGTTTTGGTTTTTGTCATGCAGCACTTCTTTAATTCAAAATTACGTCCATTGATTTTAGTTAAGATCCTACTACACATGTACTACCAAAATTTCTATAACCCTAAGAATGTGCATTTTGTGTTGTTATGTGCACATGCATATTTTAATTTGACAAATCATGAACTCTTTGTACTATATGTGTAGAATGACAATTACTGAGAAATTAACAGAAGTCATTATTGTTCACAAATGATTTCATTTCTCAAAATGACTTAATTTTTCAACGGTACTAAATACAGGGTGATCATTCAAAACTCCTATTTGTGATGAAGCTAAATAAAAACACATCAAACCATGTAAGAGTGCACATGTCTTGTACCAAGGAACCCTGTAATCCTTTTGCTACAATAGCGGTGCTTCATTTAGCACCAAATTGTCTTCATTTAGCACTACAATCAACTAGTGGCGGTTTTTCTTCATCTAGCAGGATTTCACCTTTTTATCATTTAGGAGCCTTGCAAACGTAGGGATGGTGGCTGGAGCATTTGAGGTCGTTCCACTGTCCTTTCTTCCCCTTTGCGCCGAGATGCCATGCACTGCTGTCCTGTTGAAAATGGTACGAAGATTAAACACAGTAAAATTATAGTTTTTTTGTCTTCTTCAGAAGGACTATGAAATTGTCTCGCCGGATTGTGGGTGACTGAGGATTTAGCAGAATAACTCTTGAAGGCACTGTTCCACGTCCATGATTTTTGGCAGGCAGATTACAGTTGTAGAGGTCAATGCCAAGTGCAAGTTTGGGCTTCTTGGGGGGTCTGTACGTCACTGCAGTGGACTTTTTATGTTTATGGCTTGTTAGCAAAATAACTCGAGTATATTTTAACAGATGTTCATGATTTTTGGTAGGCAACCTATCATTGTAGAGGTCAAGGTCAAGTTCGAAAACGGGCCTCTTGGGGTGTCCCTATGTCGCTGCAGTGGACCTTTTGTGTTAGATATATAATGAACTACCCCCACCAGCGTCTGCATTGATTCACATGGGGGACAGCTGTCCCCGGCCGCATCTGGTATCAATTGCTTACAATTGAGGGGCTGTCCTATAAATACTGGGGCGGGGAAGGGAAAAGGTGGACATGCGTCAGGCAGGTCATTCCCTACATTTTAAGGCCAGACCAAGTAATTTTTATGCATGACTTTCACTGGAGACCTTAAATTTATTGCAAAAGCGCGATAAAATACATGAAGGCCAAAAAAAAACTTATTAACATGCACAGATTTGGAACATACTAAATGTGGAAATACAAATGTTAGGATGCAAATTGAATAAAAGAACATAGCGTAACAACAAACGAAAACAGCAATAAATCTCCCCCTGTTCTGATTCTTTCCTTTCATTACATTTTCTCATTACACTTTGCGACACTGTCGTAGACTGAAAAAAAAGGAAAGAAGGGGTACGGAGATTCTTTTGTACTTTAGACCAAATTGATTTTTTAGTATCAAAAACGTTCCTTCGTCTAGAACAATGTCCCTCGGACGAATACATGAGATCTCCGACCTCTAGTTACTATTGATTGCGTCTGTCATTGAGGTTAAGTTTTCATTAGCGTTTGTCCGTTGTCTGCTTGTCTGTCTGTCTGTGACTCAAGAAGATATAGATAAAATCTAATGACATTCGTTGTGTACCATTACTTATAATGCCATATCAAATGGTTTCATTATCCGTGTCATCCTAGAGATCCTGAACTTATAATTTCTCAATACGTAGTGTTCCTTTTTTTTATATTCCGAGATTTCATGACTAGACATGGTGACAGCACACTCAAAATATCAACTTATTTTATGCCGCCACCAACGAAGAGGGCGAAAAACAGGACAAGACAATACTCATTTTCTCAAATTTCATTTGAGTTAATTGAGGAAAGACGTGAAAAAATTGAGGAAAGCACGATTCAAGATCCATGGCATGTCAGGACTCGAACCCAGGACCTCTTGGTTCTGAGTCGAGCACGCTTGATGACGGCCTTTGATTTTAACACTTCAGGAAGAAAAAAAGACATACCTTGGAGTACATGTTGGCACATTTTACAGTCCGGATCCAGCCAAGCATGTTCCTGCCAGGTTCATGCGGAGCCCAGTTTTTGTAAGAAAAGCGAGAACCATCCGTCCACTTCCACTGCCCATCTAGAGTCAGTCCAAACCACACGAGATAACGGCTGTGCGTGGTTACTTTAGGGGCTGGAAGTTTAAAAAGATAATAATTTCAAAATTTGGCAATCCGTAGAGTTGTTATTCGCACAGCAGTCGTCGTCACTATCTATGGATATACTTAAGATGAGGCAAGTGAACAAGCGGTCCACACATAAGGAAGAAAGTGCTCCCTACTTTCAGCAGATGTTAAGTTCTCACGACACCAAAATATGACTAAAGCTGATTGAAATTGACATGAATAGTATTACTCAGCTAACAGACACATTTACAATAAATATGCATGGTTCTCCTGTTACATTCGAAATTTCAATGCCCTGCTTTTGAAAAGTCAGCACAAGCCATTACTGGCAGGCGATTTGCATCTCTGCATTTTTTTTTGCATGTGCACGTCAGCTCAGAAAGAAGCACAGAAATGCAAAAATAAAACATAGAGATGCAAATAGAGATGCCCAAGGAGGGCAATTGGGAAGCTTGCTAGAGAATTTTCAAAAGACACTTTTGGAAGGCCGTACAAACTCAATTTCTCAGTAATGTAATTATGGTTGGACCAAACTTCAATTGACTATATTGACTTCCGATATCTGTATATATTTTACAGACTTTTTTTGGTGTCTTTCGGTCTTTAATAGGGGTTTGCCCATCATAACAACATGAACCATATAAACACCCCAGACTGCCGGATTACAAACAATGGCAGCAACAGATGAGCATAATACTGGTCGGCCTTCACTTTATCTGCATATCGATCAATAGTTTGTGCTTATAAACCTGCATTTCTCCTCTGGTCTCTCAGTCACTGACGAAAGCTAGTGGATACTAGCTAAAACGTCTGACCGATTCCAAAATCATACCCAGTTGCTTGAGTAACTGCTTTTGGCGTATCGTATTACCAATTACCGCAGCCGTCCGATGATTGGTGATGATTACCTGAATGTCTAACCTTCATTGACGCAATTGAATCAATGTGTAAAATATATATAAATATTCACTCATTTGGTACATTTAAAATTTTATATTTGGACTTGATTCAGAGGCTTTTTTTAACACAGCTTTGACCTTAGAATTTCTAAAGAATTACATATATGTATAGGCCTGGTCACAACCCGCCGTACGTGCTTCTGCGTGCTGTTTACGTGCAAAAACGTGGGCAAACGTAGGGCATCCGTGCGTGGTGAGTACCGCCTCCGTACGGAATCCTACGGATTTGGGAGCGCGCAGACACGCCGTAGAACTTTAAGTGCATGTAAAACTTTTTCTACGTGCGGCCTGCGGATTCACCACACGTGCGTGCGAGTACGAGTGACGAGCGTGCGCCGTAAGAAGCACGTGTGAGTACGGCCTCCTTACGGTAAAGTTGCAATCGCACAGAGATCGTACGTTGTAAGCACGTAAAACTCACTTAACATTTGCGCAACGAACGATGCACGCAACCGCTCACGGCCAGACTTGGCGTGCAGACCACACTCTTACACCTTGCGCAACCGTGCGAGTGACGTGCGTCGACGCCGCTCCTTCCCCACGTTTTCAGACGTAGCCTGCCAAACAACGTACGCACAAAAAGCACGTACGGCGGGTTGTGACCAGGGCTTATATTACACTATCGGCTGATAAAGCATCACCGGCACCCACCATCCTCGATGAGATGTGCGATGAACTTGTTCTCTTCAGCGCTTCTGACAGAAGCAAGATTCGCACCCTGTTGTTTGCACCTCCCGTTTGCAGTAGACCAGCTGACTTTGTCTTTAAACAGCTTGTAGCAGTTGTTGTTGTATTCGCTCCACCCACTCTTACATGGTATGGCTGTAATTTTAAAAGAACGGCATTGTTATCTAAAGCCCCTGTTACACATACACACACCCGGTACCCAAACCATTTTAGGAGTAGGACGGGAAAAGGTTGTGTGGCGTAGCGGCAGCGAACTCCTGGGTTCGAGTCCTGACATGCTACCGATCTTGTGCCGTTGGGAAAGGCACTTTGCACGACTTTCCTCAAGTGAAAATGAGTATTGTTTTGTCCTGTATTCGTACTCTGCGTTGGTGATGGCATGAATTAAGTTGATATAAATTGGTGTGCTGTCACC